GAGCTCGACTGGTGAAGTGCTCGCACTCCGTCTTCGAACTCCCAGCACCGTGCGGGCAAGGCCCCCACGCTGTCTCTGCAGGGATTTAGTTAAATGTTCGCTTTGAATCAAGGCAGAATTTAAGATGCGGTGCTTCATTTGATGGTTGACGTCGTCGGGGTACTTTCTGATAGCACTCACCGGTATTCGATCTGAAATGGAGCATTATACATGTAGTTATTGCGTATAAAATACCGGTTCATCCGAATGGATCTCGTCTACAGCACTACAGCACATCATTCCAAGTAGTCATAAACCTTATCGTTGATACCGCATGGGCGATTTTCCACAACGGTAGAAAGGCATTGTGGGAAGAAAAAGGGGTTGTGTTTGCTCCTTTTTCCTTCCCACAATGCCGTTATCTCATTGTGCAAAATCACCCATGCGGTATCAGCAATAAGGCTTATCTTTGTAGGTACATCCGTTTGTGTAATTTGGAGCATTTGTAATGGCACCGTTATTTGCGCATTTTGTCCTCACACCCACAGTGATCAAACGACCATAGACCTAAGTTGCTTATTGTTAAACTCAGTTTTTTCTGCACAATGGGTCGGTTAATTTGTTACAGTATGTCGAGGGTGTGTTCGGGTATGGGGACACAGGGGACTTTCGTTACAGACTTGCGTGGTGTGCAAAAGTCTTGCTCTTAGGCTAAACCCTTCTTGTAACTTTCGTTACAGACTTGCGTGGTGTGCAAAAGTCTTGCTCTTAGGCTAAACCCTTCTTGTTTAGCACAATATTACAGCGAGGAAATTCCAGCATATCATACTGTATGAACGGTTTTGACTCCAAAAATTATTAGGCCTATGCTAGATGTGCTAGGTGTCCCAAACTGGATCAAGGATTTTGGGGTGAACGGTCACAAACTAATACCGGTACATATTTGCCGCAAGTGTATGTATGTTTTTTTCTGGGCACCTTGCATAGGATACTTTGAATGTGCTCACATGACCAGACGAAAATCCGCCATTGTTGCAATCGAAAACCCATGCACGGACGTCGTATGAAAATATCTGGACTCAAAATGCCTTTCTACTGACTGAAGCCACAGGCGGCCATTTTACCGTGCAGAAATCAAGGTGATGGTCTGCTTGTTTGCCATTTTAACAATCAGTGCCATAGCAAATTTGGTTAACAATAGAGAGCAAGCCTTTGTATTACCTTTGTATTCAGCACTGTAAGATGGCCGCTGGTGGCTTCAATGCCCAATGTGCGCTAATAAGGGCATCACGGGTCCATATTTTTGTTTAATACTGCAAATGAAGTCCATGCGAAGAACGCGTCGCCAAACACAGGCAAGCCTCTACATCACCGAATGACAAAACGTATGGAGAAAACACAGATTCCATCACCCAGTTCTGATCAGAACAATAGTAACAACTGTATAATTATGACACAAGTGCTGGCCATTATGCCATTTTGATAAAGAATTCCATTACGTTCAAATGAAAACGAGACCTACTTTCAAGTGTACATCCTCTGACTTACGGTTGCTAACAAAATGCTTGCCTACGATGGGCGATGTCGGAAAACCATGTACTCACGTGATACTTTGACGTCTTTTGATCGGACCATACTGTTTACAATCCAGGCATACACGGTTCCATTACCACGAACTCGCGTATCATATTCATCCATGCAAGATGCATCACTCCACGGTGTGTCAAAAACCAAGTCAGATCGTTTCTGATGATCAGTTTGACCAATCATCTTGCTGACGTCAAAATGAAAGAGGACAAATTGAACTTAGTAAAGAATGTCCTGTTTTTTTATCAGGGAACACCCCTGACATTTTGTTTGCCTTTTTAGGACAACTTGTACGTCACCCGTGTTGCACCAGGCATGAGGCAAATTAATTACATCTATATAAGTGTGTTCATTGTCAACAGCGTCGCTACGGTCACATGCCTATGCCACTATCTAACACGTGCATCGGCTACATGATCGTACATTCCTTGTGCACGTCAAAGACCTGAAAGTAACATTCGACGAATAAATCTGAACAGAATGTATTTAAAAGTCTTTGAGTTAGAAAGAAACAGAACCCCTTTCACAGAATGTATATCAATATATCAGCGTGACTATAATAAGGAAACTTCAGGCTATAAATCGTGGGCAAACATCTCAGTCAACTTCCAATAATTGCCTTTTGGTATCTAATTACAAAGTTAGCCCGTAACGGCTTAATACTGCAGTGTTGAAAACCACTTAACACTCAGGTTTTGAAGTTGTGCACGCGATACCATTTCCAGTAAAGATGAATTTGGGGTGCATGTAAAAGCCTCTACAAAGTATTGTACCCCCTGCTAATTTTAAGTACGATTTCATACCGATGGTATAAGAAGATACATTCTCTAAATTTTGTCTCTCGTATGAGAATGTCTGTTCAAATAGTTTACGTATTGAAGGCTTGCTGGTCGTTCGAAGGCGCTTGGACAACCGCCCGTGATTTGTTGCAGCAGCAGCAGGGAGGTAGGTGTGAACATCGCCCGTTCTTCTTGAGTAAGCGTAAGGCCGTCTCTCGAAGAGCTCGGTTCATGCACACATAGATGATGACATTGAACCAACTGTTAGATAACGCGAGCCAGGTCACTACGAAACCTACCCAGTGGAGGAAAGGTTCCGATCGAATGCTGCTGTAGAGGATGGACACGCTGTAGGGTAACCAGGCTATCGTGAAGGCTATGGTGATCACAGAGAACATCTTGAGGGCCTTACGGTCGCCGTGAGGAGGATGGACAGGGTTGATAATCCCTTTCAGCTGGTGCGAGACGGTCAGGGCTCGTGGTCGGGCCTCAGCGTCCCTGGCCACCGGCACAATGGGTGCTTGGCTGGCTATTCTCCGGGCGTGCTTGCGACTGATATTGAACATTATCAAGTACATGACGGACAGCACCAAGAACGGAAAGATGAAGAAACTGGTGGACACGACTGAGGCAAACGCGACGTGATTAGCGTCCCACTGCCAGGCACACGTCGCGGAAAAGTTGCTGTACTCGACCGCCGGACTGGCGACCCACGACCCACCAATGATAGCCACCGAGGTTAACCAGACACTGACGGCTATGATCACGGCTCGCCGTTGGGTCATGATACTGGGGTAGTGCAACGACTTGGTAACGGCCATCATCCTGTCGACGGACAGACATACCAAGAAGGACACCGAGGCCAGGCAGAATATTGTCACCAGTGCCGAGGTCGCCTTGCAGAGAAGATCGCCCCAGAACCAGTCCCCTGTGGCCGCTGGCACGATGGAGAACGCGGCAATGACGCCCACGGAAAAATCGGCAACCGCCAGGGCGATCATGAACACTTTGGCGCTGTCGGAAAGGACAGCCGTCCGCCGTATCACCACGATGCAGAACGGGTTACCGACGATCGTAAATACCGAGACAAACGTGATAAAAAGGGTTCTGAAAACTAGCACCGCGGTGCTTATGCCTTCAACCTCATCAACTGTCGAGTTCGGTGAACGAGAGGTCGATTCCAAGTTCAAGGTCTCAGCAGTGGCGGCCATACTGCCGCAGCGGTTAATCCCCTCGCCCCCTTCCAAGTTCACTGGCACTACTCCACGGGCTTGGCTCGGAGTCAGCTCACGACACACTTAGCGTAGTTCAAACCCTCATGCCATTGCACGGAGGCAGAGGCACAATGTGGCCACTCGAAGTCGGGCGTAGCGTGTGTGGCTGCAGCAGGAAAAGAAAGATGGTGATGGTTTATCATTAACTATAAATCTGTCGAGTGATTTGGATATCCGTCATACCTCCCCTGCTTCAGAAATGTGGGAGAATGGCAGATGGCAACGCAAGCAGCTCCCGCTGCCGAGGTATTCTGCCCGTCCACCAAGTAATGCGAGAAGGCAATTTTCAAATTCAATATATCTTCATTTACCGCCTCAATGTTTTGACCGTACCAGTTCGTACATGAGGCAATTGACCTGGCAGTCAGCGAGGCGGCCCCGGGAGAACTTAAGAATCCCTAGGGCAAGCAGCCGTGATGTGAATGGGACATTAAGAAAAAAACAATCAGACCTTATCGATGTGCGGAAGCAGCGTATTGATCAAAGACCCATTACTGCATTTAAAGTGACATTTACTTTCAATGCATGTGGCTGGAATCGAATCGGGAAACATAGTAAGGGCCAATTTTACATGGGGCTGCTAAATGCAAACCTCGCCCAGCACAAGCAAGATTCGATTAACAAATTTGGTTGTCAGCTCAAAAATCGCTGTGGGCTTTGCCTATGGCACATCGACCAAAGGCGTGTCTCAGCTGTTCTAGTTATCCAACACTTTCAATTAATAGCGCTGCAGGTTCCCCTTATATCGTTCGGGAACACTTGCGTCAGTGCAGCTTTTAATCATCGTCCAATAGAGCCTGAAAGTAAAAGGTCACGCAGCGAGCTTCCGGAACCCTCGCGCGGTGTGCCTATGGGGATTTTACATTGGGTCGTCCTATCACGTTCGATAATTTTTGGAATAATACTTCGTAACCAAAACCACCCCCGGGAAACACTCATGTTGGAATTTTACCTTTGTCTTCCTCAAGTAATATTTAGGAAAGGCACCTGGAGATGGGTGAAAAACGAATTTTAGTCACGACCTTTCACGTCCGGCGATATCGTACCTAGGTCTCCTTGCTTTCTCGTGCCCGTGCTTTCGTGAAAACGAGATTGTATAACGTTGCAAATATTTACCTACCAGTCGATGGGTTCCAGATTCCGTTGAGTTGACATCACGCAGTTGTTGTGCAAAGGTTAGATAAAATATTAGAATATTTCGTGAAAGTAGAATATTGCTTTAAGTTTATTACCTTATAAATTATAAAAGTGTGTAAAATATTTTGATCTTTTTTATTTCGGCTTTTACCGACAAACTACCATAAAATTTCAAACCCTAAATCCTAAGCAACATACAAGACTGCTACATGGCACCCTTCTTCATGTATTTTAGATTTTCGGAAGGGGTGGGTCAATTTTTGGCAGGATATTTCTTTTTTAGGTCAAGTGATTCTTTAGTTGAAAATTGATATACTAGCAAATATTTTCCAAAGCCCCTTTTCCCTAGTTGGATATTTAAGACGTAACTGAACAAAAAATCTAACACAAATTCTAAAATCTTTCCACGTTATTTTTCCCATCTGAGGGTTCCGGAGCGCGCCACCAGGGATCAACTTTCAGGCTCTATTTAGGATATACAAAATGGATGCCGAACTCGCAAAATCTCAGACAAACAACACTCAACGTACAAAATTCCACGCGGTTGTCTTAGGGGCTTAGGGTCGTACTGAAATGAAGACAACGTCCAACCTGGGCTAGGGCATGGCTAACTTACCAACGGCCATAGGTCCATTGCTGATCCTCCGAATAAAACCTTATGATTGCTTGCACATACTTTTATACAATCTTTGCCAACTGCGCTTCGGTGTTGTTATAAAATTAATGAACCCAACGCATGTCGAAGTATCTCATTAGGCTACAGTTGGACTCGTTGACATGAAGCATAGTTTCACCTGGTCCATTTAGTCTGTGCACATGCGCGTGTTTTTTGCAGCTCATAATTATAAAGGGTTGGGTTTTCCAACAGTTTTCGCGACAACAAGGCGTTTCACACAAACATGAGATACACATTTTCGATTTTTTTTCACAACAGCTACAGGCCCTGTGATCTTTGATCACGTTTGGGGCAAAATTCCCTAAAAATGTAAGGTCTTTTTCATTTATGTCGCAGTTAAGTAAAGATTTTCTCGGGAACGACTCACAAGGTGGCAAAGTGTGATCTTTTGCGCTTTACACTTCCCAAAGGTTCGACGAGAAACGTCGTCTGTGATGTGCATGCGAAAGCAACTCGTAAAAGCTACGGGCCGTGAACGTACGCGTTCAGAACCCGTAACCTTAGTTTCAGTTAATTTGACATTTAATACTTTCCATTTTCAGGAAACCGCGCTCAACTTGGCTCTCAGATGGAAACCATGCATGTGCACAAAATGGACGGACAGGAAATAAAAAATATTGCAAGTGTTTTTTGTGAATATGTAAACGTTATATAAATTCTGAGCGTGGAAATGTATAGCTTTCTCGAGGAAATGTTGGCTTTCTCGAGGGATTTGACAAGAGAAAATAGTTGAAGGTGGAGCAGATTGGCAGAATAAAACGAGCTTGGGAAGTTTATAGTAAAATCAGAATGCTGACAGAAGCAAAAGTGACATGGCAAATGTAAAATCGGGACGGTGAAATCAATCGTAAGCGCGCAAAACCCGTATCGTAAAATAGATGACAAAGGCAAAGAATACTGCGCCCCAATATATTTCCCACTTTCGCACCCCACTTTCGTAATTGAACCAAAACGGGACGAACAGTCTCTTTTGTGATGGGAAAACAGAATCCGCACCGGCGCCTGACCAGAAGACATTGTGACCTTTTGCAATCACAACAAAATGATAGTCGACAATACTGTTACCCCCGAAGAGAGTTAGAGTGGGACCAAAATACCGGTGTCATCTATCAGACATGCATACTGTCGTTGTAAATGATCGTATAGCTGACATATACAGACACTTAATAAGTTAGTTTTTAACATCGTATATTGGGCCTCGAGTGCTGTTATCTTGGGGGTGGAAGAGTCTCGTCAACGCATCGGTACGCGGCAGATCTCAAAAGACCTACGATCTGGTTATTCAGGACAGGCTGCAAGCAAGTGCTGTCTTATGATAGTGGCTGCTGGCTTCAAATGCCAAAAATTACTGGTGGCTGAACTCTTTACACAAGCGATGAATGAATCTACTGGCAAGATAATCGATAGAATATTGACTGCTCTAACAAGTAAATTGGGAAAAGTAAAAATTAAAGTAAAAGAAACGGCGAAAAATACCCCCCTTTCGAATTAACGGTGACTGATTAGGCCTAAACGCTGTGTTTTTCGTCAATTCGAGCGAAGACTTTTCTTACGTGTCGTTTCAGGGTTAGAGATGCTTCTAACCGCGAAGCGGTTTGTATGATGCTGTCAGTGTTGGATAACTTGTTTGTTTCTTAATGTCTATCAGTAACGAGTGGTCAAGCTTACCATTAACAAAGTTGCCGGTATCCTCATGACTTTCCAACATTTACCTAAACCCGTCATAGCATCCACACTGGAATAATTCACTCCATTTTTGCAGGGACGATATTACCGTGCAGTCGACAGCTGTTTATGACAGCCCGGTTTCAAGTACAGGGATTAACTTTTTTTTTCTTTTTTTTTGCAATTACAATTCCTAATATAAACTGCTTATCTGCTGCGCAAACATTTTAATCTGTTTATAGACCGCGAAAGTTATTGCAGCCTTTAAAATAAAAAAGGATTGAAAGGGATAACATGTGCATTATTCCCAAATGTATACAGTGTACATGACACACTAAGGCCTGGCTGTGATTGCGCAGGCTGTGGGCTGTCTATTCAGTGCTTTGTATTTTCAACTGAGCCGGCATTTAGACAAGTAATAACACCGTTACTTCAGCGCAGTATAAAATATGGATTCTTTGTGTAGCCTCACCTTTTATGCAGAGTCGGGTGTTTTCATACGACGGAAAACACGCGCGAAATTATCCCACTCGTTTCACACGAGAAATTCCATCTTGTGTTTGTCGGATGAATGTGTATTTAAAGCTGCATGCAAAAGCAGGTTAAATGTGTGCTTGCAAAAGCCGTCCCTTGCAATATAGTGTCAAGTGAAAGCTAGTTTTACTTCATTCATGGCAAACTCAAATACTGTGAAACTACATATATGAAAGTTCATACAAACGTGGGTCCACTTTGTTAAAGGGATTCGTCCAAACGAGTGAACAGTGGACGGCAAGGCAAGTATACGTGGGGAGGACACGGGAGGGGTCTTTGAGGGGGGGGGGCAGGTGCCAGGGGTACCTGGGGGAATCATTACAATGTTTTATCTGGGGAGAGGCTGTGTGGACAGAAGATGCACCATGGGGCTCGATGAGATGCACCTAATATGGAATTCTGGGGAAGAGTTACACAGAAGGATATGTAGAACAGGGGTCACTTGGGTCTCAATAATGTTCTCGTCCCCATATCCCATTGCCTACCCATACGGTCAAGAGCTTGTACCATTCTGTTGGATGGTTGATACCTGCCTCGGTGAGAATATATTTTACTACAGACCAAAATGGAGGGAATGACAGAAATGGGTCAATTCTGTCTTGGTATATTATATGCACATTTGTATAGCTACCTGTACCATTGTGTAAATGAGGCATTTGAAATAGTCTCAACTATGAGCTTTGCAATGATGCATTGCAAATCGTTTCAAAGGGTAAAACAATTGTACTGTGATGAGAAAAAAAGTTTAACGCTCCAGTTTGTCTACAGGGTTATTTGGTCACTGAGATCGGTTGGATCTCTGCACACAAACTGTGAACTTATGGGAAGCTGAAAGGTCGAAAGCTGACATCAACTTCATAGGACGAAACATATTCGGCTTTTAAATGTTTGAATATCAGGAGGAGTTTAGACTTTATGACCGGTAAGTCTGGTTACTCTTATACAATTTTCATGTTGTATTTTAATTCAATCAAATTTAATTTCAAATGTCTAAATTCAATTTTGTTTACTCCCGATACTTCTGAATAAAAGAAATGTATACTACACTGCCACAGCAGAAAAATGGTTTAATTTTAACACGGGCATTTCATAAATCAAAGACATATTAAGAACATTACTTATCTTATTTATTCATGATACTCCTGAGTCAGGAAGGCAATCAATAATTCCTGTGATGAATGGTCTTAATACAAGTTAGAAAAGTGCATTTTTGGCCGCCTTAAAAATTACTTCTTTGGACCTCACCTACCTACCCCCCAAAAGAGACACTGTAGTCCAGTGAAGCCTCTGGCTTCTTGGCAAGCGTTTAAGGGACACTTGGAGCACAAAGAGTTCACTGTAAAGTTGGACTTTCCTTGAATTCGACCTATTTGGAGTTGGGTAATAATTTCTCTTTTGCCAATTATGGACCAGATTTTTTCAGATCAGTCAGAATGATTCTACTGTGTCCAACAGAAGAATTGAAAATTATTACAAAAGCAAAAGAAAAGTCTGTACCAAATTTGCCCCATATTTTCCACACAGTTGCCAATTTCATGGTGCAGTGAAGCTCAAATTTTTGCTCCGCACTGAAACAATGCTTAGCAGAAACAGGCCACCAGCCAAAAATGTCCTAAGATGTGTACTGCCTATGACTGGCTCACTGAAAATTCTTGCACAGCAGAGGAATCCAGTCACCTAAGTCTTCAGGAAGCCATTGTTCCTCAAGTGTATTACACATTGTTCACTGTTGAATGGGATGGCACCAGACTATTCCAGGAGTGGCATGCAGTTCTCCCTTTCAAATTTTCCTTCCAAAATCTGGCTTAAAACATATTTTATCACCAATTTGAAATTACTCACCAGAGTACACAGGTACTCCTCTCTCATAAAATTTCATTTCCTTTCTTTTATTGATGCTATCAGGTTTCAAAAGTGAAGAATTCCCCTTGCTTTCAATTTCAATATGGCCGACTCCTGAATAAAGCCCATTCACTGAGCAATACTTTCTGCTTTAGGCCGTGTTCAAAACAGGCTTCCAGTGCTATGACTACATCCAATAGTCACCTATTGTCAGTGAACACGAGGGGCAAAACAGGCACATGTATAAATCCTATGCATTCTGCAATAGTGACAGTGCTTTTCATGTTGACCACGTGTGTCCTCGTATACCTCTGAGTGACGTAAAATATAAACATGATATATTACACAAATTCTCGGGACAATATATCAAAGCTGTGAACTTGAAAAGGAAGAGGGCAAAATCAAAAATCAAACAAGGAGTAAATTGAGGTTTTCCCACAAGTGAAAACCCAAGTAAACCTCATCAACCCTCGAGGTAAACCTCAAGCCTACCTCCTGTTTAATTTGCATCCTCCTCTTTTGAAAGCCACCAATCTAGTCATTCAAACTACACTATGAGCTTCGGGGGGGGGGTCAGATGTCTTTGGGTAAAGTCTCGTGTCGTGTCCTGATTTCGGCCTCCTGCTGCTCAATGTTCCTCTGGAGGTCCTTCTCTGCTGACCTGATCTCGGTTGGTACACCATCTTGGGAGGATTCAGGGAGCCCCTCTACTGGGTGAGGTGAGAGGACCCTGGGCTGGTTGCTCAGGTTGCCGTAGATGGCCATGGCCTGGTGGTGGAGATGGGAACCAGACAAGATTTAAAAACAACATCCCTCAACTTCAAACGTGTGGCCCTAAAAAATTACAAAATTGCACACACTGTTACAGCAACAGTACTGTAAACCGGGTTAACTTTGCCAGAAGCCACACCCCTTGGCTGTAGTCGTCATATTGTTGCAACATGCTCTATGAATGATATAAGATTCTCTCAAATGATTCCATAAAAATATTCTATCATAAAATACATCTGGAGACTTGGCCTGAAGGCTTTTCATGTATAAAACTTTATATAAGTTTTTTTGATGTTTTTTCATTCAATTCCAGGAACCAGCCAAAGTTACCCCAAACCAGAGGGGTAAGTTGGCAGCTCTTAACGACTTGCCGCCGGAGACTCCAGTTTCGGGCACATATTCTTTATATGCATAGCCAGGGTCTCCAAAATCGGACAAAGGGAACTGGGCCTTGTAACAAAAGACCATACTCAGAACAAAAGACCAGGCTGCTGGGAATTGGCAACATTTTTTTCACTCTCAATAGTGGAGATAATCCAGCATTTTTTTGAAACAGTATACTACGGTTTGGGACATTCAATGCGAGCGGGGACAAAAGCGCTCCACCACTGCAGCAATGTGCCACACAGTACCACTGCACGCTAATCTGGCCCCTATTGAAAAGACGTCAGCAGCGCACTGTGCCAGTTTCGTAAACAAAAGAAAATTACGTAACACCACACAATCTGGGCTCTTTTTACAAGGCGGCAGGCCTGGCTGCAGTACTCCAGCGTCAATAGATGTTGTCTGCCAGATTAGAGTAGAAACCAGACAGTGCTTTATGTGGATGTAAATGTCGAGTAAATGAAGATATGAATTTTTAAAGAATTTTGAAAACAGAAAAAATGAAAAATATCCCGTCCCAGCAGAATCAACATTCATAAATGCCCCCAGTGCACGATTAAAAAAAGTGAAAGGATGTTTGCCACTACTATGTTAGACTTAAGGCTTCATATGACAAATATGTCCCATCAACAATGAAAAATAATTTCTGTTTCTGGAAAAGCAGAAACGATCATGATTCTAACCTACCAAAGTGACCCCCAGTTGACGGTACTCTCTGGCGTCAGGAAATGACATTTACAACGCAAAAGTTGAAAACAATCAATTGCATTAAAAAAATGGGCTTTGTTGGAATCTAATCAGGGACAGAGGCTACCTCCATCGAGAAGACAGATAATACTAGGTCATCCTTGTATTGGAACGTTTAGATGTGTGCGGTGACACTGAATTGGTGACAAGCCATTCCAGCTGGGCCTTCACTTGGAGCAGTAAGGTCTTAAGCTCTTTCCATACCTGTCCAACCATGCTACTGATGTCGCCGGTGTTAGATGGCAGAAGTATTGTATTGCCCGTCTTGGCCAAGTTACTGAATGCTGCCACGTACTGCTCAGCTACATTCAACGACGCTGCATTGTTGCCGTCCTGTGCAGAGATGTAAAATTGTAAACAAGATGAAAAAAAGAACATTAAAACAATCAGCGCAAAGGAATTTTTAATTGTGAAGGCCACTATTAGAGACAGAGTACATGGTCTAAATGGCAAAAGGACTGTTGCATTCTTACAATTTTATTTTTATCTAAAATTGTTTAATTTTGACGATGCCCTTGAAGAAAAATTTACAGCTTTCCTCAGATGGGACGAAGTATGGTCTCAGTCCCTTGACTGAGGAACTTGTCTGGGTCAACTGGCTGATTTAAATCTAAGACATAGCAGTGAGTGCTGCGATCAATGACCGCGGACACAATTCCACTTTGAGAAGATGCTCATTTTAGTGAATCTTTATAGAGAGATGCCCCTCATTGATGGGATGATGGAATCTTACAAATTCATGTGTGTTTCTCGCAACTGGAAATTAACTGAAGCAGACCAATTGCATTAAGGCCATATCAAATACTGATAAAGATGCAAAGTGTTACCGATCCCAAACTGTGCAGCACGATTCAAAGTATTTAATGTTATGTCTGCCATAGTGGTGTAACTGCAGATTACAGTCAAAACAACAGTTTACCATAGCTATGCTGCACGTACACCTTATCTATAGAGGACAGAACACAAACGTAACAGAGGATGTTTCCCTGTCCTCAGAGGTCAGTCTGTTGTCCTCGGCGGTAAGTGCATTGATTAGTTTATGGGCAAGTGTTATATTGTCAGGACACAATGCCTCTTCTGTGGTGGTATAGACCTTGATCATGATGCTGCCATGTTTGTCTTGTTTCCTGTAGACTCACTGGCATTGGTAATACAATTTCACATATAGAAGGGAACAGACTCGTTTTTCCTTCTAGCCTCAGGCCGTGTCCGAAACTGGCTTCCAGAGCTACGGCTAGGTCTATTGTCTATGCATCTCCACGCATTTCCAATGGAGTGAAGACCTAGACCTAGCTCTAGACAAGAGATTCGGACGCAGCCTCAGTTATTAATACGTTGCTTTGAATTGTAGAAAGGCAAGATAGCTGCCCCATGATGGAAGTCTACAGTGAAGCACGGCTGCCTGAACATACGTATATGTTCTGGGGCCAGTGTGTAATACTTCCTTTTCGTGACTTGAATACCTTTTGGCCGATGGCCTCTGCCACAACCCTGAGGGCATCGGCCCGAGCATTGGCCTTGGCGATGATGGCCTGGGCCTCACCGGAGGCCTTGTTGATCTGCTCTGCCTTGACGGCCTCTGATTCCAGAATCTTGGCTCGTTTTTTACCCTCCGCCACATTGATTTCGGACTCTCGAACACCTGCACCAATCCAAAATTGGAGTCCATTATTTTCATGATTCCTACTTGGTCCCTTAACCTCAGATGGGCATTGGCAGTTTTGAAACCTGACGTTATGTTGTGCATATTACAGTTTATTGAATCTCAGCTGTTTTTCACAGAACAAACATGACCCAGATGAGAAATTAGCAAAGCTGTGGAACCAAAAAAAGTACATCTAAAGTTGTTGAATGGCAACAAATCTGTATCAACAGAACAGGGTTTTGATCAGGATCATCCCAAGTCCATCACAAGTCAACTCGTAAAACTCAAAAAATTACAGTAACGACAGAACACTTTTGACTAGCTTACAACTTATAAGCTGGAAGAGTTGTGATGAACTTATATTGATCAAGGAACATCTACAAGGGTGTTCAGTTGGGAAGAGAGGAGTTTTAACTTCTTCTTGGAAGTTACATGTACATCAACCCAAATCTAACGCCTCTTTATTCAAATTTTTCTTGATTCAAAACTGCAGAGCCTAGCTACAGCACATTTGTCTTAATGACTAAATGTTGCTTACTTCTTGAGATTCCCTAATGAAAACAGTCAAAGTGAACACTCAAACCAGTTAAGCTGAATCTGGACCCCACTAGGTTGGGTATACAAGGAGAGAGGGCACAGACCTTCAGACTGTAAGACCACAGCTCTCTTTTTCCTCTCTGCTTCCACCTGCATCTGCATGGCCTCCTGGACCTTCTTGGGCAGCTCGATGTCCTTGATCTCGTACCGTAAGCACTTGATGCCCCACGGCTGTACTGCTGCATTGTTGATGGCCTCTGCAAGTCCAGGAAGAACGATAAGAGAACACTCTCTTGACATCTGTTTGATGCTGATGCTTTGCTTTTAGGGCAAATGCCAACACTACAAGAATGATGCGAGGGTGAAAGGACCAACGTCATCTTGTGACTGCTGGATCGCACTTCTCCATAAACGTCCTAGCCAGCATCAGGGTGCACAGTTCGCTGGTGCAGCTGAGTACCGTGTTGCAGTGCCCGGTCTCAACATATGAAGAGTTTCATTGCAAAACGCGATATCAACCATTTTTTTAAAATATGAGTTAAGATGACTGATACATTGTTCATAAAATTATCTGGTAATTGGCACCTTGTCTGTTGGATTCCGATTTGTACTGTCGGAGATTTCCTCACTATTTCCTTTTTTTTAGCAAACAATAATCATGCATTATCTCCATTTTAACAAAATGGATAGATAACGTTTTGCGATGACTCTTCATACGTTAGTTGTCTTTTTGTCTTCAAGAATAACTTGATACAAAACAGTGGGTCTTAAGAACAATAGGTTGTCACCTTATCCACACTGAATCAAACAAGATTCTGCATAATTCTAAGTGTCCTTACGCGGTTAAGGTTAGCCTACGTGTATGTCTTCAGGTGTACGTTTAGTATGATTGCCAGAATGACTAAGCCATGCAACTGAATGGGGAAAAGCATGCATCAACCTGCCAACTGCATAATATGTCAGCCAGAGTCGTTGGCCAATAGGACAGTCCTAGCTAAGTAAAACAGAGCACTCTTATTCAACCAGTGTGTGGTCTCTACACCAAGTGGCTGAGAATTCATTGATGGGATCCAGTATCAACAATCAGACGCAAACCCTTTTTCAAGCTCAAAGTCAAAAATGAGGTTCAAACATTTATTGTGGAAGCCTAACGGAAATTGTCCAAAATCTCATCCTCATATTGGACAAAACGGAAGCTTACCCAGGAGAAATTGAGCTACACCGACTTTCAAGATCTCAACTCAGAGACCAAATCTGTAAACTTCAAGCCTAATGCCTAAGAAAGACAAAGCCATGATTGGGAAAATCCCCTCACTAGGTGCTGCTATTTTTCTTTGAAAGGGAAAGGTATCATTGCTATTCTATGCCTACTGACATACTGTGGTAACTAAAACTCACCCACTATACTGACATTGAGTGACTCTCTTTCTTTAAAGACAGAGTCCAGTGTGATCTTTCCTATCTCTGATCTCATTGTGGTCTGGGCCAGTTGGGTGACGGCATACTCGGGATCCTCGACACCGTAACTTGCCTGCCAAATCAACAGCATGGAACACTTAGAACTGTCTCTGAATCACAACCAGTGAGTTCAGAGTTGTACTCCAGTCACGGGACAATTAAAAGCCATAAGTAACCATGGTAACAGAGGAGGAGGGACTACAGAGGAATGCCTAGCAACAGTTGGTTGAGACTAGAAACCAGACTTGCATGTTGCTAGCGACTGACTAGTAGCAACCTGTTGTGACTTGTGAGATTTCTCCTCATCACAATACGATACTCTTAGACAGGGTTGTCTGATCAACAAATTAAGAGCAGTGGACTTATGATAACCCACAGCCCAAATCCTATTGCTTGTACTGCCTAAATATCGGCCAAACGTAGACGGTCTACTGCCATGATGAAGCGCAGTCCAATAAATTTATGCTCACTATAGGTTTCATGCAATTAGCCAATGGCACATTCTTTGCATTTCCACTTTGAGAAAATCAGGCAATTGATCACTACATTAACGGCATACCAGTGTGAGTGCAGCAAAGTACAAAACCGGGACAAAAATTGGCACGGAAGCTGAGAATTACCTTGTATGGATCCACTACTCTCAAGTAAAGCACGCCATCTATACGTAAGGTCACATTATCTGCAACCAAGAAATCCAAGAAATTTGACAACCAACATGCACTTACCAGCTCCGTGAGGGTAACATTTCAGAAATAATGTGTATTCTAAACTTGGAAGTCAAGAAGTTCAGCAGATGTTTACAGGGAACACTAGCTGTCATGGACGTACAGAACATGCAGTCGACTTGGCTAACAAGAGAACACTCAAATAGCGCCTAGATTCAAAACCTTGGATATACATGTACGATAATTGAGAAGAGTTTACAACTTACATGTAATGGAATCTTGACAGCTAATTGGAATTGAGTGTGCCGAGTGTTAAGACAATTACCCGGGTCTGCTCATAACAGAAAGCATTCACACAACACAGTCACAGTTGCCTGTGACACCTGTTAATTTATCTATGAAACTTCAACTACAAAGTGTGTCTCATGATTGGTCAAGAGTGTGTCACATGGTATTTCCTGTTTCTTCTATTTCAACATGCAACCCCCCCAACCAACTATACCATGACAACCTTATTCTGGGGAATATCACATACGTGATAAATACCGACTGCTTTTTCTCAAGGCCCTGGGAAACTACCCTCACTCAGTGATTACCTCAGCTTCGCCGTAGTTTTACCATCAAAGCAATCAATATTTGTATATAAGCATCCGCACTCTTGGAATGATGACCACTACAGAGCTAAAACTCTACCAGTTGATTTTTCCATGAAACAGGACAAGCTTTGGTGTGTCTCTTACCATTTGTAATAGCACTCTGCTCGGGAATATCGATGGCAATTTCCTTCAAGCTCTGGACATATTTGATCTTGTCCAACACCGGTATCAGGAAATTCAAACCCTGGCCAAGAGACAGAAACACAATACAAAAACGACTTTTACACGAATTCTTCTCAATGCTGTTTGCCAAATGACAGTCATGTGTACCTCCTGTTCTCTCCCTTTTAAAAAAATGACTCCACCCCTACCCTTTTTGAGTATGCAATATCAATTTAACCCTAACCTTTCCCAACCACACAGACTTAAACAGTAGTAAAGTGTTTTTATTCTGTGGGGATAGGTCTGGTAGGCCCATAACAGCTGGCTCTTGCATTGGGTTTGGCATACNTAACTTGGTGTGAATGGGGAGGGTTAGGACCAGCAACCCTTGGGGGGTTAGGGTTTAATAAGGTGATTTCAGAGGAGAACCACTTGTCTTTCTTGTCCATGTGGTTTGATTTAATGCATCCATCCATAAAATTAACCTCTACACTCAACAATCTACCAAGCCAAACTGTGAATCACTAATTGGCCATGGCAAGTGTTGATAAAGCAGTCCGGATTTTGTTTTTCTTCACTGTTTTTATCATTGTCATTACTGTCCTATGTGTGTCATTTATCATTTTTGGACAAAAAAATTTGGAGAAAATTCCACCATGTGGTTCATTGGGCATTTTTCAGTTTCTGTTACCAAATGTTGCAGACAACAATAAGGCCTACCGGACTGAGAACTTTGTAGAATCTGCCCATTCTCTCGATGACCCATGCTTCCTGCTGTGGTACAAACAAAATGACTGTGTTGAGTTGACGACCTGACGCATGCCGGGCCTGGACTTGGGAAGCCGCCATGCACTGTCGGCGAATAAGGCCCTGTAATAAAATGCAATAGGTACATATACATGTATGTCAGGTACTCTGGAAAGTCATCCATATACCTTGTAATACAATTAACTCGGAAATAACAATTTCTAGGGCCCACAATAGAACTCTGGCATCTACAACCCTACGAATTACAATTCTGTTGTCCGCCGCTCTCCCACAAAGCACGGTAGATGAGGAATCCCAGTAGGAGTACAATGCATTGAGAATTGTCATTTAGAAATGATAAATTACAGTGTAAGGTGGAGAATAAACTGGACATGACACATACAGGAGCTCATCTGCAACTCATTTAGGCTCATAGCTTATAATACACGTAAAATACTGAATAAGCATGTTACGCCCCAACTATAGCATCAGTCCAAACTATAGTTGGGCCCGTCCCTACTATAGTTGGGCCCGTCCCTACTATAGTTGGGCCCGTCCCAACTAGAGTGTTGCAGTTGGGCCGGCCCAACTGCAGCAGAGAGGTCCTGTGTGCCAAAGTCATATTGTTAACAAATGTCATGTCATTGGTCATGGGGCTAGATGAACAGATGAAGTGCCACATTTTAGATGAACTGTGTCAAGTGTGAGACACATTGACCTGGATAATGTCGAGACATTTGCCACAGACATTGGTCAACAATGGTTGGGATGTAACAGTGATGTACTTGTAACCATTTACACCAACATTTCTTCAAACAAAGTTTGTTATTTAAGTGGGAAGTCAGCGTCAACTGCACAACATAGCCACACACATAAGCTGCATGAATGAATGCAAGTACATAGCCAAATTAGTGAGGCACGGACAGTACTGTCAGTTCCAACGTCAGATTGGCCATGCATTCAGGGCCTCTGATGTTGAAGTTCAGAACTGGACTCAAATGGAAATTTTCACGGCCTACCTGAGCAATTCGAACATTCCTCATTACTGACAACATTTTGCGTGATTTCCTTTACCGCTTTACCCAGTCTGTTTTCAAATCAGTTCAGTAAGAACAGGAGAAAATAATTAGTAACGCGTATAACTCTGCAGCAGGCTGGCATTATATGCATGACACATGTCTACGTATGTACATAGCGCCCTCTTTAGTTTCTATTTTATCTGCTCTAACGGCCAATTTGATTGGTTCACATTTCCTTCTCCTTTAGTAAAAAAAATTATCATTGGCTACTAACAAAATAGGTCATAGTTCATCACAGCGCTGTCTGTTCAACCTGTAAACAAAACTTCAGTTTTGTTCTGATGCAAGAAAGATTTCTGCTTGCCACTGCCAGTTTTTATTAAGGGAATCGGCATGCCGATCACAGTCAGAGATTACACATGGGACGAAACGGAAACATCAGTCCACGTGGATGTTCCATTGAAAGGTGTCAAAGCTAGCAAAGTGGATATATTTTCAACCGATGAATACCTCAAAGTAAGTTGATGCGCCAATTTTAAATTGGCAAGTTGCGTTATGGCGCTATTTTCTGATTTTGCGTAAAACACTCTAAGCTATCAAGTAATTTAAACAAGGAATTACAGCCTAGTCTGCTATCGTTACCATGGTTACACAGCAGAGACTTTTAGGCAAGTTACATGTACATACAATCTTAATCAAACAGTCTTAATATAATTTAGGGTCAACAAGTGTCAGCTAGCATCAACAAGACATTTTGTCTTTAGGGCCTACAATTTTTTTTATAATATAATTTATAGGCCCTTAAATATCCTAGTCAGTGTATCACATTAATCTAAAATGACATTTGAGTATGGAGATTTGAGCAACAAAAGTTGGGCCCGCTCATGCAGCCCGATCGACTGGCATCTTGTTTTTGTGTGGACAGCAGAGAAAAAAAGATGGCAGTCCCCAGTGGCAAAAACTGTTCGTTTTCATGCAAGAATCTGGAAGCAGATGTATAATTTTTCTTTCACAGTGGCAGATGGTAGCATCTCTTAATTATGACACAACCACTTTTTAAATAAGTAGAGGTATTTTCAAATTATTGACACTTTGTTGATGCTACTTGTTAGTGTTGACACTTGTTGATGCTAAATACCGCGACTGGCCAGGCCTAGTCCATTTTATTTCGCATGTTTAGGGGCAAGGCATAAGTAAACCTGACAGTTGTGCAACAATCAATTCAGTCGTAATTCTTCATACCATGAATGTTTTTTTATTGAAATCAGGTGAATTTCCCTCCATACCTCTTTGAAGTGGTCCTATTCCAACCGGTAGATGACAGCAAAGGAACGGCACAAGTGGGTGATGGCACTATCACATTCAGTCTCCAGAAACGACAACCTGGACTATGGAACCGACTCATTTCACCCAATTCAGGTGGTGGATAATGGCTCAATGGGTTGGATGTGGTTGGTTGATCTACGCAATACGTGTACAATCCTTGTGCTATTGGTTGATCTTGTGGCATGATCTCTCCATCTCTCTGCGTCCCACTACATGTAGTCACCTTGTCTTTTTAATAAGTGGTTGTGAAAGACTTTTTTAGAAAAGGGGAAGCAAAACTTGAGAGGACTAACGGTACATCGTAGATCTTTACCATCAGTAAATCTGGTTTCAATAATGCGTGGTTTACCATGGGATAGTATCTCTCTCAATGGTGTTACGTGCATCTGTTAGTTTGCACTTTTGCGCAGTCAGCCGATAAATGCACGATCAACAGATCGCGTGTTAGGGCATTATCAATCTATGATCAGCTGGTAAGCATGGAACAAGCAAGTGTGATTGCATAAATCCACTGATCTCACCCAATATGTATATTCCTTGTTTCTTTTGCCATCTGTTTTTTTACATCTTTGAGGAGAAAATTCCTCATAATGAAGTTTAGATACAGCAGTACAGTCTGAACACTGTTACAGATCAAAATTATCAGTATTATTCAAAGGTTCCAGTTAACATGTACAGTGTACATGTATGTGACCTGTGCACAGAAGATGAGAACCATTGACTGTCCCTCTCTCAGAGACAATTGTCATATCTCTCTTAACCTTCAAATCTGTTACGTATTTTATACAAGTAAAAATTAAGCAACTGATTGAAAGTTTATTCTTTGGTTTCCAGATGACAAAGAATTGATGAAAAGCAAGCGCCAAGCTGCCATTGATGCAGCCCACCGCAAGGCACAGCAAGAGAAGCAACAGCAACAGGAAGAGAAACGGGAGAGAGACAGGACAGCACTCAAGGAGCAAATGAGAGTATGTATGTCCAGATGAAAATGACACGTCTGTGAGACACCGGGGAGCAGTTGTAACAAACAAGACAAGAAAATCTCTGCAGACTGAGACCTACACTTCAAAAACAAGATCGAGCCAACTTTGATTTCGATTTGTTTTCCATTTGTCAAAATTTAAGACGGAACTTATAATACATGTATACTTGACAACTAATTTATGTGCAGATAGTGACTGACCACGATACCAGGAAAGAGTCTAAGCCTTTACAATGTCACAGTCTTGAGCAAACAAGATTCTCCAAAATGTCAATAAGGCAAAGCTAAGAGTGCAGAGTAAGTCACTAGCCAAGAAGCTCCAGAGTATTCCACTCGCCAAGTTTAAGGTCTTGGGTTTCAATTTTCATGGAGATTTTCTTGTCAGCATTTTGTGCCAGAAAAAAAATCCCAGTAGTTTCAATTTGAAGCCTAAGACTTTTTGGGACATGTCAAACTATTTTCTTAAAGATTGACTGATTGGAAGTCTGGTCGCGTGACCACGGAGAAAACATAAATTATTGGAGACTAGATACTACACACTCACTGAAGAAGCTAAACTGCTTGTTTCTTGAGGCATCTGTTTTCTTGTACTTTGTGTTTTGCTATATCAAATTTGGAATCTTGTTTTGAGAAGCATTTAGAGTACTTTGTGGTTTTTTTCTTGGGTTAAGAGTCAGATTTAAATGTCTGCATTCCTTCTGCAGTTGGAAAATGAGGAAAGGCAAAGGATAGAAAGCATCAAAGAAGCAGAAAGACAGAAAGCCACGGAAGACTTTGAGAAGTGGAAAGCTGAGCAGCTGGAAGCAGAGAAGGAACGAGAGGAGACACAAGGAAAAAGTCAGAGCACAATCCCAGTGAATTCTTTTGCAAGCTTGGTTTTTGACCATTGGGAATATTCATTTCTTGTCACATGCATTAAAATTTGAATTCTCGGAATCCTTCAATCCAAGAGAGCAGTGTTTAGGCCTGATATTTGGATTACAGTATCTGACCCCAGCTGTTGTTGTATTGTCTAATCTTATTAGAAGGAATTGTGGTCTTGCCCAGGATTTCAGTGTTTTTAAATCTAATTTTGCAAGAAACTTATTTGTACACAGTCTTTTTTGCTATCTGTGTTAGTATCAAGGCGGCGCAGTCTGACTCCAGGCAAGTTTGTTCAACTTTTGGGACTCTAACCATTAAAATTATCATACCTAACTTCTTGTGCATGATGAAGATTTTTTTTAGCCATGCAAAGGGACTTTACTGTTTGTTAAGTGAAAAGTAAATAACTTTGTGTTACAGATGATGTTGGCATTTTTGATGATGAAGAAGCATTGCCCACCATTGGAACACGTCCAGGTCAGTTCCACAATAACAAGAAGTAATTTCTCTCTTTGTTGGGAAAAAGACTCTGTCCCTTGCCACAAAGCTTGCACTGCCAGATCAGTAGAATGCCAGATAGGTCTAGCCAGTTGAAATTCTAGATTTGTTCTGATGGTCAGATAAAGGAAGTGAGCTTTGAGCCTGATAATCCATGTTTAAGAAATGAAAGATTTAACACAAAATACAAGTTGGCTTTGATTAACTCAAGTGGAGGGTAATGTTTCAGAGCTCATTCCTGCAATCCCATGAGAACTCTGCTTGATCCCTTGTTCCATATCTTGTTGGACACAGATGATCATGTTTACTATGATTTGTGTAAAAAACAAAAAGATGGGTGACTGTGGTGACGATTTCCAAGATTGCAAATGATCCACGCCTTGACCCTTGAAGTGATTGCTGGTGATTTTCCAGGGTCCAAAGACGAGAAGCCAGCGGAAGTCAAAAGTCAGCCTCCACCGAGATCATCAGGGAACATCCAGGTCAGATTCACCCCCCGGGTCTTCCCGACCCCCCTCAGAGAGTCCAAAGTAGAAGCTGAAGAAGAGGTAAGCAGATGACCCCAAGCAGGAACTGTGCGTGGTCAATCCAACAAGTCAGATTGTGGAGTATTTTAGTTGCTTCCCACAAAAGTCTAAACAAGATTCTTGACTCCAAAATGTAGGTGAAGCTGGAAACAGCGTTGACATTTGGCAAATGGCCAAGGTAGCCCGTAAGGGATACATCACATGTTAACTCTAATGAACTTGGTAGCACAGCATCCATGTGAAAAATGTTCGACCAAATGGGTACAAACCCATTGCATCGTGGCTGGAGCTAGAAATGCCTGAGCATGGTGCCCCACAGGACAGACGTTCTTTATGTTTGGCATTTTTATAATGAATGCACTGGGAATTGGACCTCATTTGGTCAGTTAGTGCACTTGCTGTAAGCCTCATGATATGAATTCCTCACTATGATTGTATCGTACTGAATTGTTTTATCATGTGTGCAGGCATGCAGCTATTGTTGAATCCACGTTAAGAGAATTGCTTTGACCTTTTTTTTCATTTTCAGTGGTTGAGGAAGCAAGCAGAGGCGCGTAGGGTAGTAGACGTCGATGACCCAGACCTGACTGAGGAAGAGAAGAACCCAGTCTGGCTGAAGGACAAGGGAGAGTAAGTCCCTGTGTCCTGAGACTTGGTGCTGAATGGTCCAAGTCATTGGAGACTGGAATTCCAAGTGTAGAGAAATGCACTTAACAGCATACTCCAACTTTAGCTAGCAAAATCCCTCCAAAATGTTCCTCACGCAAGGATGATGTTTTGAGTTTTTCCTAGCCTAACTGGACTTCTAAATTCAGATTCTTAATTTTCTTCAGTATTTCGCACCACAAACTGGAACCAATTTGATTTTGACATGACTGGTTGGGTTCCAGCTGTCAGTTGACATCGGCAAATGGCAAATTTTCACAAGTCCTGGCTATAATCCTGAGAAAAGATGTATTTTTGCATTTCATAAAGAGGGAATGATGCCAAAAATGGCTACATATATACGTATATTTGATTGCGTATGCTAGTGGCAATTGACTTTGCAACTCTTACTAGTTTTGTTCTCTTATTATAAATAATTCCATTTGCAACTGCAGTGGCTTTTTTAAGTCGGGAAACTACCTAGCCGCCGTCAATGCCTACAACTTGGCTGTCAGGTTAGACAGCAAGCTACCTTCGTATCCTTTGGATAAACGTGGTGAAGGCCATTCCACTGGAAGTTTGTCTGCAGTGTTGCATAAAGACAAATACATTTGATGTTCTGTGCATGCATGTAGGCTCTGTTATCGAGCACTGGATTTGCAAAAGCAAACTAATCTCCTTGACAAACTTGAAAGCGTTTATTCTAACCGGGCCACTTGCCACTTGAAGCTGAGGAATTTCATCAAGTGCATTGAAGACTGTTCCAAGGTATTGTACTGTACACAATTGATTGATTGATTGATTGATTCTTATTGGAATCAGGAAAGGATGGTAGATTCAAAGCTCTATAAGAAAATATACGTGTAAAAAAAGCATGTTGTAAAAGGCAATGCAAAAATACATGCATTAATTATTGTTATAAGTTGTTTCTGGTAATGACACCAAGGATTCCTCCAAAGTGCCCTTGGCACGGTAGCTCGCAAGCCTGAAGAAACCTGTAGAGGGAGACAGTGAGAAGCAGCTGAAGTTTTAGAGGTGGGAGGAAAAGCCCACAGGAATATTCTGGGTAGAACCCACGGAATCAAGTAGGGACTGAAAACCCAATCCACATGCTGACAAAGGTGGGATTCGAACCTGGGTCGCAGAGGTGGAAGGCAAGGAGAGAACTTTTGGACTACCCTAACCTGACTGGATTTGCTTCAGAAATTTAACTGGTGACAAGTGTAATGGAGCTTGACAGTATTGATTTTGCCAAAGAGCACATCCTGTCCCGTCCCCCATTGTAATATATTTCCTAATTCAAATGGCTTGATTTCGGTCATACATAGGCGTTGGACCTTCTGACACCTCCAGTAGAGGCTAACGCCAAGTCCAGACTACGAGCTCATGTTAAACGAGGCACTGCCTTCTGTGAATTGGAACTGTACGTTGAAGGTAAGGACAACGGAATTGCAATCAAGTCATTCACAAGTCAAAAGGTGGTCTGTCTCAAATCAATCACTCATCAAACCATTAGTCCTAACACAAGGTAACCACAAGTCAATCAAGTAAGTCCCAAATTGGTCATAAGTCAATCCTAAGTCAATTGCAAGTCATTCATAAGTCAATCACATGGCAAGCACAAATTAGTCACAAGTCAGTCGTAAGTCAGTCATAATTCAAACACAAGTTAGTCAAAAGTCATTCATAAGTCAATCACACGTCCTCATAAGTCAGTCGCATGTCCGTACTAAGTCAATCACACATCCTCATAAGTCAGTCGCATGTCCGTATTAAGTCAATTGCACATCCTCACACCAGTCAAAGCACTTGTCAACCATAAGTCACAGGTCAATCTTAAGTCAATCATGAGCTAATTTCAAATCACCAAAACTATTTCAATTGAACTAGAAAGAATCCCCCCCCCTTTAACCCTTTGATAATACTTTGATGGCGTTCTGAATCTGTTCAGGTTTACAAGATTATGAAGCAGCCCTGAAGTTAGACCCCAAGAATGCCCAGTTGATTGTGGATACTAAAAAGATCCGAGCCGTTATACAGAGCACAGTGGAATGAGCAATGCTGAAATCTTACAAGGTAATTGAAAAGTACTCATTTATATATTTATACCATTTATTTATTTGATATACTGTTTATGTCTTGATTCCACATGCTACCTGCCCACACAGATTGGAACGTAACGTAAGCTCGATTGTCAAACTTGACTGTAGATTATTCCAACTAACTACACACAAGTGCCACTTTTCTTTAAGTGTGGAATTTAGCATCAAATTCCAGATCTTTGGAACAGTGTGAAAAGTTTATCACATAGTGCAGGTTTAGAATGGTCCGCTTTTTTCTAGGTAGGTTTGAAATGTTGGATTGAAATAAGTGTAGGCTTTTTTAGTAAAATGGCCTTTCGTTAACGCTGTTGGTGGTTTGGTCATTTCTCCACCAATGTCACAGCCCCAAAGTTGTAGGGTTTCTTTCAGTAACACTCTCACACTAATCAATTTCCACCAGCCGCAAGATCCATCGCCAAGATGGCATCCTTAAAGACCAGGTACTGCTGAATATTAGTGTTGTCGACTTTAGAAAACGGGAAAAGTTAGCCATGAAGCCATAGCCTCACAACTTATTTCTCAACACATATGAAAAGACACAGAGCAAATGCAGAGTTTATTTGTTGTAACATCATTGTACCTACACCAGTCATTTATTACAAGTTTCCACCAAAACCACATTACGTTAACACACAGCTGTCCTTGCTAACTTTAAAAAATCACACTAGCATTTGAAATCGTTATTCTGAGGCAGTAATTTTCAACTCACCGATTCTTACAAAACTATATCTTTATTCATGTATCACACCAATAAATAAAAATATATCCCATTATTTTGTATTCATTAATAACTGTTTCAATTGTCCAGATTTCAAAATAACAAATACCTGTCTGAACGGCATGTAATATCAAATTTCCTTAGAAATTTTTAACACACGTTTGGTGAAATAACCACAGACAAAGGGCCAGATTTTCGAAGACGGGAAATACCGGTATGTGTTTGGAGATACGAAAAATTTTGACTCAAATGCTTTTAAAGAAGCAGTAAATTTTGGGAAGTTAGCCAATTTTTCCATGGGAAGAGTCCATTTAGAAATATGAAATCAGTGCCTGTGGTTTTGCAGGGATGTCAGGGGTGATTATTGTCAAAGCAAACTTGAATCCTTGAATCTGATTGGTCAGTCTATACCAATAGGAGTGGGTTATCCTGGGTAACATGGCTACATCTTGTATTGACCGTGTGCTCTCCAGGTTCCCATGGCAATTGTGCATTGCAGGACTGCACATGCCATCCATTCCAACAGCACTTAACATCACTGGTACTTTGGTCAAGTTTGCTTGAAAATAGGGCCTGCTCTTTTGACGTCAGAGTCGTGATTTTCCTACAAGTGGCTGCTAAAACTGTAGTTGGCCGTCGGAATAAAAGTAGAATAATAATGCACAGAGTGTTAAAAATCCCACGCAGCTGTCAGAACACCAGATAAAAATACATGTGCTACTGAATACTAAATGAAAATTTAACCCAATTTAAAATCAATGGGACAAGTGTCCATTTTGAATGAATTGGAAGTAAAATCCGAAACCCACCAGCAGGCCATATTTATGCAAATTTTGGCCACCCATACAACTGTAGCCAAACTGATAGTGGTCTATACGTTTGTGCAACAGTTGAATGTGTCTGATTACCATAGACCTCATTACGAATTTACCTCGTCATATATAAAACACAGTTCGACTTTCGTCCTCAATTCACTGCGCTGGAAACTAGGAGCGGGGAAGCTAACAAAGCATATTTTATTGGTGACAAATAAACCAACCATGCATGTATAATCCTTTGACATGACAAATGCAATCGATAGACGTCACAGAATAGAGCCTATCGCTAGTGAAAGCCGAGTCCACACTATACCCAGCCACCTCAACATCCATGTATATGTACATATTTCAGCAGTCTTAGTGTTTCAGTTCTTGTCTTGAGCTTCACGGTTAACAAAGTACCCAATCCAAATTGATTAAAATTTTCATGATTATCATTTCCACTGTCTCTGAAAAGTTACATTTCACACAGTTTTTTTTCCCCTATGGCAAGATCATCATAGCTATTTCATAACTTACATTATGTACAGTTTATTTGACCACAAATTCTTACAAACTAAACTACACTTGTTTTTTCCCAGTTGTCTGCAAAGTTAGCAAGCCTTGGCTAAAGGCAAGTTTGCCTAAAATTCATGGGTCTGGCTTTACCTCATTCACAGATGTCAAGTATACACACATGCATGTATGTATTGGTGTTCACATGTACTGCAGGTTCACTTGTTTGATATCACACTTGCTCATAGTCAAGTCACTTTCTAAACTTTACTACAAATGTGCAATGTTTCATACTCTAACAGATCACGAACAGACCCAACCTGCCAACAAAAATATAGATATATATATAGCTGTGTACAAATAATTCATGAACCTAGCTATCATTTTTTTAGTTGATGTTCATGAAAACAGGCTGGTGCCCAACAAAACCAGCATCTTTCGGGCTATAATGGGATAGCATCAGGGAATCTGACCAACATGACTGCAACATGAGACTGCCCACATCTGTCCTCATTTGAAGGGTCACCGCTCCCGCCCCCTTAATAGAATGCAGAATAAGGAACTGGCTACTACACACATGCATTCTTTTTTTGTTTGGTGTTCCTATTCGGCCATTTCTAAGCTGGATTTCCCGTCCTAGTTTTAACATTTAATGCAAACTATGGGACAGAGAGCAACCCCCCCCCGCCTTTGTGTTGGTCATTGTTATACTGTTATCTCAGGGAAACTCTTCAGACATCTAGGGGGTGTATAGGCATTTGACTTGTGGGGGGGGGTACCCCTCTGTCCCATTTCGCACCTGGAATAAGTTTCAAGATCTGCAGCTCTGAGTGCATTTTGATTTACATGTACAAATGAGTAGAGCCTTTTCCCAATTTGTTTCTCTTGTTAAGCAGAGCCCATTGCTTCTAATCATACTTCAAAATAAGAATTATTTGATCTTTTCAAAATTTTGCTGAAAATGTTACCGTGTGCACAGTTCTCATAGCTGCCATAACTTGCAATTGGTGGCACATTTTTCCAAAACTTCACTGGTCCTTTTTCCCTTTCCCCAACCTAAATTGCCAAATATATTCACCCAAATCTTTACCTTATTCCCCAGATTCCCCCCCCCCAAACAGTGACTAGGTCCCCCTTCCATAATACTTCACATTACCCACCTTTCACCCCAAACGGTATCAAGCACTCCCCCCCACACACACCATATCAAAATCTTTATTCACTCTCTGGGGGGTCAGGTAATGTGCTGGCCTGCTTGTCGGGTATGTTCTTGAGGTGGTCGACCCAGTGGTAGTCGTAGTCGATGCAGGTGTCAAACTCAGGCATTGGCTCCTTCTTTGTGTAGAACATGATGTAGAAGTTGCACATCTCATCTTTGGTGGTTGACCTGCGATATAAGTCAGGCAGAAGCATAGAGCTACATGTATGTAAAAACTAGAGCGCCGACTCATATACAAAGTGATGCCTGCTGGACACATCAAACCTATGGGAAAACTCAAAATTTTGTACGGCTTTTGTACGGCTATTTGCATATCTGCGTCTGTATTCTAAAACGATGCATCAACAAATCCGATACGCCGCAGATATATTTTGCCGTGATGTTTTACTTTGATTGCGTCGTTACCCCGTGCATGTTGCATTTAGAGTACATAATTTGATATTCATTCTGATCTGACTTCGAATGTTCTACAAGCCTGTACACTGATTGAAAATGTCTGCGCCCAGGACGGCATCAAATTCCAACCGCATGGAGAATAAGAAGTTAGTGCAGTAGTAATTTAATATACATTGTAGGTCTTTGGGTAGAAGCCATAACAGAACAGATTCTTTAAACGCTTAGATGCCTGAACTAACTTCTAGCCAGGGAGCTCTTAAGGATTCTGGAAGGCTTGTGGGATTTGCTTTCAAAAACATTAGTCTAGTATTTCAATGGGTAACCATTGTATAGTGCACAGTATTATTGTTTAAAATGATCCAAAGTACTCTGAGTCATGATTCATGCGTCAATTTAAAATGAAGCTTGGATGAAATATGCTTCAAATCCTTATGTTCTGATCAGAGCCATTCACAAGCTCCCAACTAGCCAACAGTAATGACTACATCCTGCCAGGGACTTACCCAATGTATGTGTCCTTGTCCTTGTCACCCTCAAATGTACACCTCATGGCCTGTAACAAAATCATTGATGTAACGTACTAGTGGCTGAAAGGTTATCTGTTCATTCGGATAATGGCTTCGTGCATGTTGTTGGATGAGGCAGGCAGTTCCAATGTCATGGTGGATTCTTGCACACTGTTTTGGGATCTATTTAGAACTGTCAACTGTAGATTTTGTTGTGTCTTTGTCATGGTCATTGTAATCTGACAGTCAGTGCATGGTAACACGTGGCCTTGGTGCCACCTTTATGCAGTGCCAGTGTGTATGAAGGGTTGTGTGGGATGCAGATCTTTAGGGGCTCAGACTGATGCATATGTCTATGGGAAGTGCAGTAGCTGTGGCTGCATGGCTATGGCTCCGATATATGTAGGCTTGCATGCTATTTTCAGACACAGCCAGGTCATTTAGACAAGGTCTGATACTACAGAACTGTCATGCTTTACATTATGTGGTGTTCAACGGGGGTTAGGGTTACAGACTGAACCTTACCAGTGTGTCTCCCTTCTCAATGGTAGAACCGGGATTGGATACAGGATAGAACATCTATTCAAATAAAAAAGGATAAACTTACATGTACATGTACGTTTGAGTCAAGAAATGGCAGAGAGTCTCTTATCCCCTCGCAAGGTTGTAAAGACAAAAAAAACCAGGGACTCCACAAAACTGCATGGCACCTGCACTCTCAAACATCATGTACTCATCCGTATTTGGCAAGCCACAATGCTCTGTTTGCTGGAGATGCATTTAAAAATGCATTCAATTTGTGCAAAAGTGAAGTGGTTCCACCTGTTCCTAAATCTGGGCTGTGTTCTGATGGTCATACCTGAGAATCGGCCGAGTTGTTTCTTGTCAGTGCAAAAATTACTTGTGATGATGTAATATGTGTACTCAAATCTCCAAAACAACCAAAGAGAAGCAACCAAACCAGTGGCTGCTGGATTTATTTTTTGATTTAATCCGATGGTGTAAGATTTACACCGTTCGTCATGCCCACTCCATCCTGAATACTGAGCTTTCAATTACATTCTTTTTCCCCTTAATGCATTAGAGTTTGAAAAAGAAAGACAAGGAAATGGGCATGTTCCTCGTAACAGCAGTTTGTTGGCATGAGGAAGGTTGCAGCAAGTCCATCTCTGGGCTCCCAGAATTCCTGCAGGCATCTCAGCCACTCCCGTTGAGGTTCCTTTCCACTCTGATGCAGTCTATCTATAGCATGTATCAAGGAGCGAGTCAGACCAGCTGCCCCTCCGACAGGTGACAGCAATACCAGGAACTGTACAGCTGATTTCAGTATGCAGAAAAGTGTTCCTTCAGTTTTTTTTTGTATAAATTGTGTATTTCCAAGATTTTGTATTCTGCATGTGTGAACAAAAGGTGCCTTTTCTGTACTTTTTGGGTCAGCGTTATATGATCTGTATTTTTCCGTCCATTAAATGAAGTTTTTCTAAAAAACATGTTATTGTATTTTTCTGTCAATGTACATGTACTACCGCAACTGTTCAACTTTTAAATCTGTCAGCGAGTTCTCATCCTTTATCATCTCCAGTTTTTTCATTCTCTCACAACTCCTTTCTTCCTATCCTTACATCCCTTCATACCTGAGGCAGCTGAGGGTTTCTCTTGCCAACTTCCTCCCAGTTGTCATCTCGGATGCGGTAGCCAGAAACCACTTTACCTATTTGGGAAATATTAAATGTAACCTGGATGAACTTTGATGTTCATGCTCTGGTACTTTGAATTATACATGTTAAAAATGAGGTGTGGATCACATCCAAAAAGTTTCAAAATACTCAAAAAGTGTCATTTAATGAGGCCTTCAGTGGCCAAGAGTGAACAGCAAGTTCTTGCCAACATTCCAGAACATGTACTACTGTGTTTATCGAGTTCCATAAATCAGCTTGAAAGAAAATCTTGCTCAGCAAATTTATGTGCTAAACAAAAAATACTGGGGCACCAGTCACAGGAAATATGCACACCATGACGTTTTGGCTTGTGACCCATGCTTGCCAAGCAAATGTCTTTTTGGTAAGCTTATTTCTTAGCTAAATCACCCTGTGAAATTGGCTCAGCTGAAGGGTATAATGAGTTGTGTTTGTGTGCCTCAGAATCCTGAAGAGTGGTTTCTGTAATTCCAAGATTATTGTCAACGTTGGTAATAAAAGTCTTCAAAATTTAATTACAACTCCTCAGATTGTTTTGCTGTTTTGTGTTGAGAATCATGCTTATCTCCAAAGGAGCTAATCTACGTTAATTGGAAATAAATTACCTCTTAGAACAGAGGCCAAAATTCCAAGTAGCAGCTAATTAGAAAAAATTGCTAAAACAATGCACCATTGACAATATTAAGCCAAGAACTGGTGAACCAATATGCATCACATTACATGTTGACTGTTAATCTTTTGTTTCACTAGGTACATTGTTTTGCTTCGTAGCTCCATGACATGCTTAATATTTCACGTGAAACAAGCTGACTACGTTCATTACAACACATGCAGTTTACTTGGGAATCCCTGTGTTGGGTAGATTGTCCCTGCCTTCATTCACAGGATCTTTACTGTCATTCCCTGTGCATTTTTGCATTGGTTCTTGAAACTTCCAAAATCGTCCAAAGCCCAACTCCGAAGTAAACAAATGGCATGTCCTTTGTTCATGCTCTTTCGCATGAGTAAAATTAGGGCATGATCAAGTCTCATATTTTTGGCTGTCTGGTCCCGAACCCAGATTTTATAAATGCACATAGGAAGTATCTTTTGGCATTTGTAGCCACGTTTGCCTTCTGTTGGTGATCAGAAGTTGAATGTGATAACCGTTTTTATTTCTGCAAGCAGCTTTGGTTGTTTTTTCTATTTACTTTTGTGACGTCAGGAATGGTTTTTGTTTTTCATGAATACTAAAATTCAATCGAAGGGTTGATTAGAGGGGCTCCAAAAAAAGAACTTAATAATTTATTCATAATCTAGTCCCCATCCAACACTGGCTCATGACTCACTTCTCTGCATGATTCAATGGGTAATGTCTGTAGGTTGAGCGCACTGCGTCAAAAGTGTGATGTTGCCAGCGCACGTAATTAACCAGTCACCAGAGATGTCCAACAGACAGCCAATCTCTCACCTCCCTTGTGATTAATTGTGGTCGGTCGACTGACAGGGAGGGCTGTTACACAGACCTTCCCACCGGAAACCGCCTACAGAATGTTCACAGGTTCTTGTGAATGATGCACCCACCTCACCGTGACTAATTTATGAATGTGCTGGGGCACGTGATGTCCACTGAAATGAGCTATGCAGTGGCGTGTAACCAAACTATTACAAGTCCAGCTCAGTGGCCATCAATTGGGGGTGGAGGGAGAGACATGTTCTCCACTGGGGACATGTCCCATTTTCAGGAGTTGAAAGTGTCAACATTTTACAAATGATACCAGCGTTCCTTTGGAGGTGGAGGGTCGTTTTCATGGATGAAAAAATCAAATCAGAAAAAACTTGAGCCCTCATTTTGGGCCATCACTCAGAATCTGGATACCTTACTGGCAGAGTCGTAGACTCGAGTCACTTGAGTTGGACTCGAGTCAGACTTGAGTCGCTATTTGTGTGACTCGTAACTTGACTTCTATCAGTTTCTGACTCATGACTTGACTTGGAATTGCAAAAATTGCTTGTGACTTGACTTTGACTTTCACATTATAACTTGCCACCAACGCAAGTCAGAAAACTCTCAATCAAACCCATTTAAGTTTTAATTAAGGCCTGTTAATTAACTTAGTCCTTGCATTCTTAAAACAATCGGCTAAAAAAATCTTTGGCTTGCGACTTCCACTTCAGTCTTGTCTGCCGAAGGCCATGTCTGAATACTTGGCTGTGGTTTGAAATCGCACGTCACGTGACGTGACTCGTACTTGGACAAAGACTTGTGACTTGCTTGTGTTTGGACCAAATTGACTTGTGACTTGACCTGTGATCAAATGAAATGTGACTTGACTTGACTTGACCTCTGATCAAATGACCTGTGACATGACTTGGGCTTGCAAAACTGGATTTGCTACCACCTCTGCCTACCCGTCCAAACATGGTTTCTCTCTGATATTTACGTGGCTATAGTTGGAAGGAGCATTTCGAGGCCATAAAAGTCTTACTCTGCCCCAAGAAACTGTATTTTACTGTCTTACCATGGGGCTCAATATCTGAGCTACAAATACAAAATTATTGATATGTTTTGTCAAAAATTAAAGTATTAATTTTTACCGAGTTTATGAGTGTGAACCCTGTATGCAAACGGGTAGAGAGTTGAGCTGTCTTGGTATTCACATGCTGCCTCCAATTTGGCTGGGAATGTAAGAAAAAGATAAAAATAAGTTTAATGTAGATGATCAATTTTTAAATGTCTTTTTTCATTTTTAGAAAAGTCAAATAAGGCTAAGAGCATCGACACATCAAAGCATTAGACAGTTGTCCTTTTCATTGGATGTCAGACTCTAACATCAGGTGCCTTTTATTCTAATTCTTAACATTTTGCTCGAACGCTCAATGCCAGAGTCATATCGTAACAGTAAATGATTCGTGAAAAATGTAGAAGGAGAAGAGTACGTAAATAAAAAACATGGAGACATTTATTTAATTAACAAAACAGCATAATAAATTCATTTTCAAGTTATAATTGAAAGACTATCAAGCAAACCTCTGCCCAGGGTTTTGCTCAGAAAATGCTCCAACGTTGAAATTACCACTGGCCTATGTTACTATTTAAAATTGTTTCCTAATAAGCTAAGTTTCAAGCAATTTGTCTTTGGTTGGAAAAGATCTGGTGACATATTTTTGCTCATTCATATGTTACATCTCTTATTATTTGTAAAGAAAAAAAAAGATGTGTTTGACTTTTGATACTCACTCTCTGTGTTTGCTTTGATCTCTCCGTCGTTGGTCACCATGAAGTACACACCAGCCAGATGGTCTTGCCTGAAATTGGGACGTGAGAAGAATCGTGTGCACTAGCATTCCGACAGTCTTGTATCAAATATCGAAGTATACAAAAGCAAAGATATCAGTTTACTGCCCCCATTTTAGCGTGTTGTTGATGTGTTCAACTGAGAACCCTCCCTCGCCTAGAATGTAAAATACCAGTGAAATTTACCACAAGGTTTTGCCAGGCAATTAATGGCCCTATAGAATACGTTACTGGGTCAACTTGGCGATGTCCTTTACGAGCGCGGAAAGATATGAATTTATTATCGAGGACACAGTGTGTGGTTAACATTCACGCGGAGTATGTGGGTGTATGTATATACTTACGGACGGAATGTCATCTGTAATCCGATTCCTGAAAAGTCCTGTGTTCCATCTGCGAAGTACCAAGTTTAATTGGTTAAAAGCGAAGCCCGATCCGGGTTATTCTTCACATTGTGTTTTGTATAAATAGGCCCTTTTTTAAAAATATAAGTTGACTTGAAAAGTTGACGTCTCTTGCAGTAGAGTTTTTTTTAATATAGTTTTATGGTGTACAGTGTCTTCTTTCCACAGTGAAATGCAAGGTATCAGTCTGTACGGGTGGATCTAATAAAATATGCTAAATATTGAAGATTTCCAATCCTCAAATTTAAACAAAATGTTCTTCAATACACATATCATTTCAAACTTCATCAATAGCTGGAATCTTCGGTTATATTGGGCCAGAGTTGTTCCTCCTTGTATTTATAAAATAGGATCACTTTCGGAGTCGATAGGAACATCGCTAGTCACCTCTTTAATAGGGCCCCAGATATTCAGAGGCAGCCTCTTATCTGAGCTTAAAGTGAGGCAGTAGCAAAAGTGTGAAAGTTGGGACTCACCTTTGAATTTGTCTACGTTATTGTAATGCACCTGCAGAACGAGGTAGTTAATACCTGTGTTTCCTCCAACCTCGAAACCGACATCTGAACAAAATAACCAACGAATTCAGAAACTTCAGAAAATTTGCAAGACTTCCAAACATTCCCTATACTTATCGACTATTCTTTTCTGTGGTAAAAATGGAAGGTCATCTTACTCTTACTGAAGCTTGGATCATCAGTGTACAGATATAGGCCTACATGTACTTGTACCTGCTCTATTTTCAACCCGTAAGAGGCTTGAATAAATCCTTGTCACATGATTAAAGGGTTGTCGATCAAGTGTCAATGAATTTTTTGTGCAAAGAATAGAACGTTCCAATCCACGGGTTGCAGTGAAAAGAACATCATAAACAACAATCATGTTCATTTCCATTTCATTCGGTGACGAATGAAATCATCAGATTCCATAAAGCCACCTGATACACTTTGAAATTAATCCTCCTGTTGCTGTCACAGACAGCCATAAACAACGGGAGTGTCACGATATATAATCAGCTCATGTAAGGAGAGAACTAAAACGCACGATAGAGAAAACAAAACGGGAATGCGTGCACAGTATAAAAAAAACACTCGGGGCTGCGGAGTTGTAAGTTACAATGGGTGGAGATTTTGAAAGCAGAACTGGGACGTCGATGAACGAAATTGGAACGGTGACAATGGGTTGAACAGAGCAACAAAAATACCGTTTGGCATCGGTTCTACGCTTGTGCACGCCTAAGAAAATAATGTTGTCTGTGACAACGGGACACCTTTCCCCAATCCTGTCCAAATCCTGGTTGGTGGGGTAATGACATTTCATCTATGGTTTTACCATTGGGTAGCTTGAGTGGCGGTGCGTCCATTGCCCAGGCATATTGAATCTTCTCCCCCATCAGACAAGGTGGGTTATCCCCAGTTCCCGCCATCTCCCCGCAGTTCCTGCAACCAAGAGAACACGTCACATGGCTTAATAAACCCAACCTCTGCAGCGACCTGAAATAATGCAGTCGGCCCTCGTGACTACAGTTTGTGAATGAGGCCTGTTAACGATCTTGATTGGAAGTGATGATTTCCTGAAGGCTTTCAATCATCTTTCAGAGGCTCTGAACTGAGCAATCCCGGTCCTGTCCTGCATTTTAATTGAAATAAAATCTCTTATGCATTTTAGTACGGACAGCAAACAGTTTCTTGACAGTTGTAATTGTGTTGTGCATGTACACCAAATCACGTGCGATACTAATGAACTCTTCCATTTTCGAACAAATATGACGATCACTTTTTAATGGGGTCCCGAACAGGTGTTGTTGCTTTGGTGCTGTTGCACCTGCGGGTGTTTCTTCACCGACTTCAATTTCACAACTCCCCAATTCCAACACTTACCACACGGTGTCCGTACCCCCTGGCACAGCGCATCCAAACAGTATCATGTGGTGGGCGGTCATCTTCTGCGCCAAAGGCTGGTAACCAACTAGACAGGAAAACGAGGGATTCATACTCGGTGTGTTTTTTTAGCGAACAGCAGAACGGGAGATTACATTGGTCAAGTCTGCGATATGACCAACGTAGTCTTTTGCAATGCCATCCCAATAATTCAAACAAAAATGCAACAGGAAGACAACGTTGGTAGTGATGCAGCCCTGTTTTTCATAATTACCTAACGCTCCGTGCAACTTAGGCCTACCTGGTGCGCATTGTCCCTTTGGGGCATTACTTAACGCAGAAATTTAGAAGTCCGAGAAAAAATATTTACCGAAAAAAGTTTAATGAGGAATTAGAGTTGAGTGACTAACTACTGCTCAGAATGGTGACGATTCATCTCAACAATTATGTACATGTATGACAACGTGAAGGCGTGATGCGGTTCTTGTGACCCTGTCGTCCATGTTATCAGTCATCTCCATCTTGGGGATGATGTACCCATTACCAAAGGCATTAGGTTCTATACCACGAGATTGATGAACAGATGTATCCAATCAATTATTCAGATTTATCACAGGCTTTTATCTGTACATTAGATGTACATTTGTTGTACAATCTGTACGTTTGTTGGCCAATTCGTGCGTTCTCGTCAATGATATTATGTTCATGACTTGTTCCAGATAATGTTGAACACAGTAACATTGTGCTAACTTATTTATGCACGACAGACGCCATATCCACACGCACAAAACTCTTAAACCGAAGATGCTATGAATCAGCAATGGTTTTCCTCGTATGATGAATAACTCAAAAGGCATTAAGAACAAATATACAATCAATATCCATACAATTTTGGGATAGATATCTTCATTTCATATTTGGATATCGGAAAATTAAGATATAGCCTCCGTGAAGAAAGGCAGTGTTTGGATTTTCGTTTAAGTTTAGAGTTCTTCAATATTCGCCAATTATTTTTATTTTATATCTTATATACTGTATATTTATATAATTTTCTTTGAGAGGGGCCGCTTCCTGCAACGCACTCACGATTTTTAACCTCTGAATGTTCATTTGAGAATGTTCTGACGCATTGGTGACAATAAAGACACCTATTCACCGAAAGGCAAAGGGAGATGAACAAACAAAGCGTCTTGAGATGCAGTGCATTGGGCCGGATGTCGGTGGTCTGACGTAATGTGTTTGCCATCACCAGCAATCATTCATTCCCGACATCAACGCTGAGAATGCCAATTTCAGTCTAGAAGGCCTTCCTGCGAGCGCACAACGTAGGCCTATGCTTCCGAGCTGTTAATAATTGATTTCCATCGACAGTATTCACTTCTTGATCTGTTGTTTTGACTCGGACTATCTTGGACGTGGGGCCCAAACGTGATGCGCCGCACGTAGGCCCTTGCGGGATATCAGTATGACTTGGCGAACTGTGGCACCACCCGGACTCGTTGTCGCTACCGTGCGTGACTGGACTCCGTGCCGGGGCAATTAAGAGCTTCGTCCGGGCACGATGTTTGCCTGCACGCCGATTAGATGCCTTGAAGCGCAGAATGTAGAATAAGTGTAGATTGGACACGAATATATGTATTTGTAGGCCCACATGGTTGGCCAGAGCCATATCAAACACCAAATCCAAGCACATAAATCAAAATCGTTGGATCGTGATGCTTCATACCCCCCCCGGCGGGCCAAATCCTAGACCGAATTTGCCCTGTGGCTTTTTTATAGTAACTTGTCCGAAATTATCAACCCTCAAGGGTATATAGCCGATATTTTGCGGAATTGAAAAAGGCGATAGACTAACATGGACAACTAATTGACACTTTACTCCTCTATGTAACAAAGTTTCTGACCTTCATGCGGAGGTAAATAAACATGAATATAACATTAACGGATGCAAACATGTATTCCACATTTTATTTAACCTACAGAAATTCATGTTAACCCGTGCTGGGACTTATGCTCAAATCTTTCCTCTTTAATTCGAAATGCTCACATCTTATGCACAAGCCACAGTTCACCTGACTTCAGTGCAACCTGAAAAAAAGAAACGAGTGTTGTGCACCCCTGGATGTACTCCTTGATAGGTGCCAAAGTTTAGGACACTGCTAATGAACAATTGTGTGTTATTTCAGAGGGCATCCCCTTATTTACGTTTGGATTTTTAATTACGGCTATGAATGTAAGAAAGTAGGCAGTGAAGACAGCAACCTTTTTTTTCAACGCAACACGCAAACAGCTCCTTTTTAAAATTCCTTTTTTCAGGCTAAAAGTTACTCTATGAAGCCCCAAATCTCAATCTTTATATCTTTGTCAGCTTTGATGTCACATGTCTTTTCCCTCGTCTAGTCTTCCTCGTCATCTTTAGCAATTTTGGTTAGCATTTGATAAGTTTCTAGATCCATTCTGTTGTCCCTTGGCCTCCTAAAAGATAGGTGTGATGGCGTAAATTTATACTGGAGACTGGGGATGGGGGATGGGGAATTGTGTGTGGGGGTTTACTTTTATGCGCAGCCATGGAAATTCGAATGGGGGGGGTGCTGACACCGTATGACATTATGTAGGGGGCATCATTTATGGCACAGATGAATATATTCGTGCAGAATTTTACCAGAATGGCATATTTTTGGCTTATAAAAAAAATTGTTCTCCCGTTTGGAACGGCATTGAATACATTTTGGTATTTAATGGGAAGTCCGAAAATGTCTTTACAATCCGCTTTAAGTTTTTCGCACCGCGAAAGGTTGGAATGGGATGGTTCAGTATAGCCCACCACCCCCCCTCCAAACATGAGGGATTATATCCCCATCCTCCGGGATTTACGCCCGTTAAATGATGCCCCGTGCACCCATCCCACCCAACCAGAACAAGTTTTAGCCAGCCCCTGGAAGCTGATAAAGCTATGAAGACGTTGACAGAGGTCAACAGAAGGCCTAGGCCGCTGTTGTTTGAGTCCAATAAGCTTATATTTGTTTCTAAATAGCTCTCGGAAGGCGTTGAGGATTCAGTACTTTTATCGTGACACCAATGAAGGCGAACGCAACTCGTTTGAGAAATAACAGTCTGGATACACACCTGAGTGGTTTGTGGCTCGCTTATTAAATAAACATGTTCACAACTCGTACATGATTGCGCGTTTAGATGGATAATTTCGAAGCCCGTTGCTTCGCTTGAGTGCTACCGGATAGTTTACTGTAGGTTCATCTTTGAAACCGTGTTTGTCGTGTGCATCTTGTGTGGCTATCGGAAAGGGGATAATTGCCCGAGCGCGACATTTAGAAACCACAGATGGAAGCATGAATTAATAATTTCACTATTCCAAAATAATGGGACTTGAATAAGTATGAAATGCAGGTAAAGAGGAAAAGATAGTCGAGGCTAATACCAACAGAATGGAAACCAAAACTGAATGGGGCTCCTGTTACAGTTTTGTATTTTCAGTTCCTATGTCTTTTTGCTTCTAGCTCACATGGTGGAGTTCGTCTTACGAGTAAGGAGAATGGATTCTTACCCTGAAAACAAACTTAAACTTCAAATACATTAAATGTTGACAGTGAGTTTTATTCAGATGCAAGATCGTCTTTATCTTAATGCTTGCTTCCTCGTACTAATGTTAGTTATAGAAAATTACCTTTTGACCTTTATTATCAGCAGGAGCCTGAAGCAATTTGCAATATATCACACTCCTTGTTACCTAGGAACGTATCTCGCGTCTTGTCATCCATTAGTGTTGTCATAGAAACACTACATATACCTCCCTTGTTGGGTGCATTTTTAATTTACAGGCATGAGGCATGACCTCTTGATTGCATGAGATGAATGTGAACTCAAATCAGAGTTATTGGATATGGCGCTGGGTAGACGACGCAATATCTTTGGTTAATGAAGATGACTGTCGCAGATGAATTCATGCATATAATTATAATATTACTTTCAGTAGACGGAAATGAAATCCAGATTGGTCTAGACATAAAGTCAGCACAGCCTATTAATTGATGCTGGTGCTTATGAGTATAGGGCCTACGGTGCCCATAAAATTTCCTATAAAACACTTAATCTGACTCCTGCATAACAATTTGTATGGGCAACCAAAGTTTGAAGCAAAATCACCCTTTGGTTGGTGTTCCATTTTACCTCAAATTTGTTCAAAATATACAATTTTGTCCCCTTAATTTTAAAGAGGGTTATATATTTTCATTCAGTGTTTAGTAGTAGGCTACGTGTATTATTATCTTGTGTTTTTGATAGCTACGGAGATTTTTAACACTTTCGGTATACTTTTTTTATTTTGTACAGAGAGCCAGTCAGAATTTTAGCAGCCAACTGTAGAAAAACACAACTTTGATATAAAAATAGCAGACTCCATTGTGGGAATACATTTTTTTAAATCACCTAACATTATTGACGCTCATATAATTTGAGGAGACTTGTGGTTGATCTTTAATTGAACTATCTTACCAATGAAGACCGGTACCTCATCTGACAAGGGCATTGAATAGCAGTAGTAAGTATCCGGCTGTAGGGAAACACAAAATATAAATAAAGGATCTTAAACAGTTCAAACTTATGATTTGGCATCTCGATAAGTTAACTTTCACAATTTGTCCATGTGTCCAATGAGCAAAACGCTGACTTCAAAAATTAAGCCATCATTGCACACTTTCTAGTAACATCCTCTTCTCAAGATGTATTTTTTGTGTTGGGGAGATGTTAATTTATATAACGGGTTTTGCCCTTACCCAACGTATATATTAATAAACACTGTATGCTCAGTGGTTGTTCGAGAGCTTGCAAAAAAAAGTCACAAGCTTACTCGGGTGGGACTCGAATCCACGACCTCCTGCTTATTAGTGCAGACGTCTTAACCACTCGACCACCGAGTTGGGTAAGGACAAAACCCGTTATATAAATTAACATCTCCCCAGCGCAAATGTACATCTTGAAAATAGTTCGCGGTACCCGCTGCTTCACCTGACTCGGACCGGCCAGCCGACCCCGGCAAGCTCGGTGGTCGAGTGGTTAAGACGTCTGCACTAGTAAGCAGGAGGTCGTGGGTTCGAGTCCTACCCGAGTAAGCTTGTGACTTTTTTCACAAGCTCTTGGACAAGCACTGAGCATACACTGTTTATTAATATATATGTTGGGTAAGGGCAAAACCTGTTATATAAATTAACATCCTCTTCGACAATCATGTAACGAAGAATTGGGGCGGATATGAGCAAATGCAATGTGATTTGTGGAAAAGCCCTACTGATGGAAAACCCAGTATGGAGGCTTTGCGTGGTAGCCATCTTGCAGGGCAATTCTTTTGTTAAGTTTCTTTGTGCATATTCTTTTGAACAAAAGTACTGTTCTGTAAGATGACCATCACGCACAGGACAGGTAGCGTGCTATAGCATACA